TATCATAAGATCGAAGCCTATGGCCCAGGTGGCTACGGCTGTTGTAAAAGAGAACATCATTTAACGGTAGTAGTCACGAGTACCTAGGCCCTAGGACCTATTACAGCCCGGCGCCTACATTCGCATGCTTTCAAGTTTGCATGACTCTCGTCACTCAGTACATGCGCAAGATTTTCCATGACAAAAGGCAGTGATGCACGCTCAGATTGCATAGCACAGTGCATCGACATGATAGCTTCAAAGGCTGCCAAAAGTTTTGTTTGATGTCGGCACTTAGCGTGCTCAATTGAGTTTGTTGGCACCTAGCGTGCTCATGCAAATTGCACAACAAACTCAATCACCACAACGGGGCTTAAGAGCGGGTTAAGAGCAAGCGGAAATTGGGTCGTTGTCTAAACGAACCTATCACTCGCATAGCATATAAGAAGGTGTTCTGCCGAGCTGTCCTGCTTGAAAAGGGAACTCTATACTGTACACAACTCTTTGAAAACTCGGCAACGTCTCAAAGAAAGTCGATATTCTCAGCGCTCAAAATCGATGGTAGGACGTTCATTTCACCCGTTACACCTATTTGCAGCAAAGCCACGAACAAGCCCAACGAAACCCCTACGGACAAAGCTAGCTTCTTATAATCAAGCGCTTCTCGATCTATGGTGTACTCTACAATTTTCTTTGCTGACTTGTAGTCTAACTGACCCCCAAAGACCTCATTAAGATTACGGAAAGAAGCATCAGTGATCTCGTTCACAAAGTTGTCCGAAGGTTTCTTGACAAGCTTCGGGGCAGCCAGGGCTCCGAAGAGAAGGCCCCCAAGAGCAGCACCGATATGTGTCCTGCACGCGTATGAGTGAAGGCCCTTAGGAACATCGGATTCAAGTGCCGACCAATCACGAAAACCCCGAAGTGCAACCGGAACAAGGATTCGCCAAATGCAATCCAGACAAGAGACGAAAATGAAACGTGACCGATCCTCAAGACCTTCCTGAACCAATATTGTATCTTACGACCACCACCTTTGTACCACCTCCTCCAGACCGAAAGTAGAGGAAACGCAGACTCCAGCTCCTACATAAAACGTTCTCCAACGCTCTATAACAGTTTTGAACGTTTTTCTTGTTTTCAGCCATACCAGAGAAGAGAAGTCCTGCTCACCAGTCGTCGATCGGCAGCGGGTTCCCGAGCGCCACGTTGAGCGCGCTCAAAAAGATCGCCTGCCGCGTCATGTTGTCGGCCTTTTCCTTGCCAATGACTTCCCGGTTCTTGATGAGGAATATCAGCCACGCTCCCACCATGCCATATAGGGGACCCTGTGAGGGGGCCACGCGTCAGAGGAGAATCAGGCAAGGCCTGACACCGCTTCATACGCTGACAATAGCAAAGGTCAGTGCAGGCTGCCGTGTGTACTGTCAGGCTGTATGATCTTTGTACGTTCAAGAAAGAATCGGCAAGGCTTACCAAAGAGCAAGATTTCTGAATCGGCACAGCTCTTCCTTCGAGTTTCCGACGTGAGATGCACGATGAAGGAACAGACAGAAACCGCCGCTCCCGTTGGAAGATCGACAAAGGTCCAGTAAGCTCCAAGCTGAGCCCCTTTCAAAAGACTCGACAGATACTTCGGGGCCAGAATGACGTAACTAGAAGCGTCTGAGGTCGCAAAACACCTCTTGGTCCAACGCCTTCGCCCCACGCTCTAAAGTAGGCTGATTTTCTCACAAGGTGCGGAAAGCTCAGCTCACCGTTCCGCCAATCGTCGCATCCTGCGTCTGGAAGAAGCTCATGAGGTTGCCGAACGCCCCAGTCAGGAAATAGAGTACGACGAAGGAGGTCGTGCCGTATGCCGCTTCCACTTGCGGCCCGAACAGTAGCATCGTCCACACGCTTATGCCGATATGGAAGAAGCCCGCATGCTGCATACAAAAAACCAGGTTGAGCGCGAGATTGACAAGGAAGACAAGGACACGGTGAGAGAGTAGAAAGATAAAGAAGACGAACTGCAAGGAGGTTCTCGACGACTACGCTGGAAGAAGCCCGCGTGGTGCACACGAAGTTCCAAACAATAGCGCGGATTTGGTCAGGAAGACAGGGGAACGGTAACGAACCAAATCGATGATGAAACACGAATGCCGGGCGGACTCTTAGACAACCTCCTTGGCTGTGAGTCCTCTTATGGACAGTCAAGGTGAAGTCAAGCTCTTGAGCACAACCGTCGCTTGTTAGAGGGACTATAATTCAAGTGAATCTCGAAGATCGGCTAAGAGTCCGTGTTCTCCCGAGATCCGTTCTGACAGGACGAGATGTCGCTTTCGGACTTTTCTGAGACGGGTTGCAAGCAGAGACAGATTTTTGGCAGTTGTCGAGATGGGGCGACAAAATTGGATGAGGGGAGCCGAGAAGATCGGGGTGAGCTTGGGTCGAGATAAGTTGCTTATAGACTAGGCGAGCTGGAAAACAACAAACCTTAGTTTGAGTGGTCCTAACGTAAGCAACTCCGCTTTGAAACAGTGAATGGACCTTTTCGTTGGTCTTGCAGTTAGGACATTGATTGCCCCTTTCTTGCAGTCCCCACGATCTGATGTTAGGGCTTTTGGATCCCGTCACCAGAATTTGCGTTATCTCTGAAGACTGCCTCAAACATCTCCAATCGAGGAGCAGTAGAAATCAGTCAGAAGCATGCGACTGTTGAAGCTTCGTTAAAAGGAACGGGAGAGTAGCAGTGGTCAAAGAACAAGGTAAGATACGGGACGCAAGAGCGCCTTAACATCACCAAAAAGGACAAAACACGCACCAGGAGGCTTGGTGTGAACAGCCGCCACCACTCCCCCAACGCTATCAGCTCGTTGACCTTGGCGCCAAAGAGGTTTGGAAGTGACGTGGCGAAGTTGCCTGGGTCCGTCTGCGGGCTTGCCAGCTCGAACAGGTAGACTGCCACGCTGATGGCCGCCAGGGTGTTCCTGTAAAGAAAGAAATAAGCGGGATAAGCTGGTGTGAAGAAGGCAATGAGAGAAGATTCCTTCCTTGCCTCGCGAGATTGTCTGTAGTCACAGACTGATGTAGTCACAGACTAATGCAATCTCAAAAAGGAAACATCTTGAGGGACTCTGTCCTACTTTACCTTTCTAGTCTTATCCGACATAGGAGAAGGGCTGATGGCAACTACCGTACGGCCAAGGTATGATTCCGAATGCTCAAAATATGCAGTTATTTTACCGAACGCGAGCCCAATCTTGTATTATCTTCCAGAATCCGACCTTGAATGACTTGCAAGGTACCTAGGTAACCTAATATTCTGGGTTTTCATGGGTACCGGTACGTACCTTGGGCTCATATGGGCTTCCAAACCACTTTCCGACCCAGACTTAACGATTATTTTCTGTTTCCGAAAAAGCAGATTCCGACTGCTTATTTGGAGTTTCCAACTTTCCGAATGCAAATAATTGTTTATTTGTTCGGATTCATACCTTGGTCGTACGATACCGCAGGCGAGAGAGGAAAGCACACTTGGTGTACGTCCACATATTCAGATCACGTCAGGGTTGGAAAAATGGAACACCACGAGATATCCAGGCCAAGTCCACCTTCGTCTTGAAAAGGTCGTGCTAATATGGGCAATATGGCAAGAAAGGAAACCAAACCACATGCATGGCCTGGTCAACCCAGTAAAGCGGGACCAATCCTGGGGCTTTGTCCTTTCAAGCGAGATTCTCTGCAGTTCTACAAAGGTACAGACAGCTAACGCAGAATGTGAAGAAGGGTCCGATTTAACACAGGCTGGCTTCAGGTAAAGCTGCCTTCTCACCCTTGCGCTGCCAAAGGATGCTGGTGCTAGGAAAGAAACCCCGACACAGTACACAAAAGACAATGAAGCAGAGAATTGAGTTAGAAGCTTCCTTACACTCCGTTGGGGGTGTGCTGCAAAAGGAAGCGGTTCCACGGGCTGAGCTCCTCCTGGATGACGATATCCAGCGCCTTCTGCGCCATGTCTAGCGCTTCCTGCTGGTTCTCCTCCTCCTCAAACGTCTTCTTCCATGCGTCCATCACCTCCTTGCGGAAATCCACGTCGTCTGCGGTGGTCTCGTCTTTCTTCTCGCTTGTGCTGGCCGTAGCCACAGGCACTGGTTTCTCCACCTTTGGCTCTAAGGAGACAGGAGGGTTGGATGAGAAAGGGAACAAGGAACAGGATTGCTTAAGGCCCAAAGAAACGAACTCCCAAAGGGGATCGTCAGATAGGGGGCCAACAGAGCCTACTTGGAAGACGCCTTGAGTAATGAGTTTCTCTCCAATGACCCCCTGACAGAGTGGAATGCTTTGGCACAACAGGGTGCTTAGGAGCAATTCTGAGCAGAACTGCTGATTAGCATTCTCAAATGAAAGATGCTGACTCTAGCATTGAAATCCCAACTGGAGAGTGACGCTCAGAAGAACCGCCCCCCCTGACAATTTCAACGCAGGTACTGAGAAGGTCCTGTAAGCCTCACAATGCAAGCATCTCCAATAGGATGCCAATCTAGAACCTTACTGTCCTTTCTTTCAATGAAGACAGCCACATTATCATCAAAAATTGATTTTACAGGAATCCCAGCGAGTCATGTCCAAGATATCCTTGATAAAAATACACATTTAAGGGGGCTTTGTGGGCCAGAAAGCATAAACTGAGTTGTAGCTACAAACGGTCAGCTGTCTTGAATGCCTCACCCAGGTAGTTTATGAAAACAAAACCGCCACAACACTTGCACAAAAACATTGACCGACAAGCTGCAATCAGGAACAGCACAGACGGACGGAAAGCAGAGTCTCTTCCCTTTCTCTCTTTTCTGTAAGTCCTTTTTCTTCCCTTTTTTCCCCTCTGAGTTCTTCATGCCTTCTTAAGACTTCAAGTGCTCGAATTGACCTGGCCTGAAGAGTTTGTAATCTCTTCAGGCTTGTGAAAAAAGCTGTGGAGTCCAAAGACCTCAAGAGGAAGTGTTTGTAGATACGGAAGAGCCAGTAGCCAACCCCCTTAATATTGTAAACAGTTCAGCTGCAGCACAAAGGTAATAACCTGGTGGTATAAAGGATAAAAGCAACGGCATTCGTCAAAATTATTGAAAGAGCGCCAGACCTTGCACAACCGCCTTGGCTCACTCATATTCAAAGCAATTTCTGTATAGTCTGGTCATATCATGGGAAGTACTGGTGGTTGCACATAGACGACGAGACGTTGCCGTGCGCAAAATTTGAAAACAACACACAATTTCCATACTGCAGTTTACAATTCAAACTCCAGAATTGCCCAAACGGTCTGCTTACCAGTTTGTTTGGGAGGGTTCAGCATGTCAAAGTACGCATCCAGAGCACTCAACCCCTCCTGGTCCTTTGTCTTCTTCTTCTCTGTCAACTTGACCCCGCTCTTGCTCGCAGTCCCCTGCGAAGACGTCGCACTTGGCCGCACATCTATCGACACGCTCTTTGAGGCCTCAGCCGCTGCCGTCCCCGCCAATTGCTGAAAGTACGAGTCCAAGGAGGAAAGAGCAGAGGAACTGGAAGAGGGGTGGCCATCCTTGACAGGAGCGTTGTTGGACTCTGGCGAACTGCTTTCCTGCTCGGGTGCGGAGTGTCCCTCTGCACTAGTTGAAGCTGGAGCCTCGTGCGTTTCCGCCTCCGAGGTACTTGTCTCAGGAATGCTGCAAACAATCCCTCTCCTTCTACTCGAGCATTGCCGCTGCAACGCTGCCTTTCTAAACCCCAACACGGGGTGCCGGCTCCGGAACTCGTTGGATAGGCCTCTCAACGAAATGGCTCGGCCATTGACTGACCTCCTCAACAACGCACCAACTCGGCAACAAAGTGGCAACGCACTGCAACTCGGCTCCAGCGCGAGCATTGTGAACCCCCCCGTCTGACGTGCTGGTGGTTGTAGAAGAGAAAGGCAACGCTCTGGACACCTCGCCAAGCTCGAGCAAGATGCTGAAAAGGCCATTGTGCCACCGCAGCAGCACCACAGCTCCCCGTTGGTGCGCCAGAAACTGAGGAAGTCTTCCTTCAACTTCAAGTTCAACTTCAAGCTGTGTGCCAGCAACAAGCCGCGCTGAGCTGCGCAGCCTCCCCCTGTCTCACGTCAGCAAGCTTCATTCGACGATACACAAAACCCCAGCTTTGCGCTGTGCTGAGTTCGGTGCGTCGTCGAAATAGACGATGCACGGACGCGTTTGCACAGCGACGTCAGTTCGAGCTGCCAGGTCAGCGCCGGGCTCCTGGAAATCACTGTACGCGGGGGAGGCGCGCAAAGGCTCAATCCCTCCCACGTACGTTACCCTACTGGGGCCTCCTCTGCCACAGTGGAATTTGTGGAGCAGGCCGCAGGGAAAGAGGGATCCATCATGCACTGGTCAGCACATTGCCTGTGCACTGCAATCCAGTAATAAGAGGGTCAGAATTCGCGGCCAGCTAGGTCCGATGGGACAGGATCGGCT